AGAGACAGACGTCTCTACCGAAGCGCACATTGTTTCAATAATATCCTGTTCGGGCAAATTTAAGAACCGATAGCACTAGTTAGCTGTTCGCCGGTATCGATGTGCATGAGAATGAGCTATGGCGCAGATGTTACGTTCTGACTCTAGTGAGAACAGAGTACGATGTCATAGTACGGCAATCGCCGATACGCGTACGATTTAAAAAAGCTGCTGCTACTGCTTGAGAAGTACGTCCGCGCATGTGTGTGTGCACATATATCTTTATGATACCTACGATTTGATGATGTCTAAGACAAATTGACAAGTGGAATAGGTTGCACGTGAGTAACGTTATTCGACAACCGGGAACGCTTCATTTCGACATAGCTGTTATTGCTACTACAGCTGCGTATATAAACGAAACACTAAATCAACCCCTTTCGACTGTCTGCTTGTTTGTTAGTAGGGTTGAACAATCGGTGTATCGGCGATGGTTGTAGCGCCAGGCTCGAGCAAGCTTACTCAGCCCCTCAATGCAAAGTAAAGTTTATTTTGCAGCTCTATCAGCGACTGAGCTCAGCGTGTTCATTGTTGCGTATGTGCGTTTCTGTGTATCTGTCATTTTGTTGATGCTTTGGTGTTCACTTTATACTGCACTGCCACCTTTTTCGCCCTCCTCCATCTCAGTTCGCCCCATCTGTATAATAATACTTGGCAAATAAACAAGTTTTTGACATCTCTTTCGCTCTCTCTAACTCTTTTTTTTTGCTTTCTCTATCTTTATCTCTCTCTGTCTGTTTGTCTGCTTTGTTTTTGCAACTGACTGCCAGTCTTGGCAAGCAGCTGCCTCTACGGTTGAGACTTGCCCACAAGCCGGACGGCCGGCCTGCCGGCGATGGCACACTCGCCTTTATTGCAACTATTGCCTTGCTTGCTATCCTACTCGACTAAACCTTGTCCTCTCCTAGTGCTACAGAAGCTGTACTAGAGTACTGCAATTTGAATATCTTGAGGCAAATAAGCAGGCCTGAGCAGGTGTCCAAGGCTTCCCGAAACTGGCGTTTCCGCTCTCTACTTCCAGCTTGTTGACGGCTGCTGGCGAACCAGAACGAACTCAGCAATGCGATGCCGCCACCAGTTACAACAACATGAAGTAAAAAGAGATCCTCCGGTCTCTAGTGATGGCAAGGCCTATGCACTCGGCGGTGAGTTGATATAGCTGCTGAGGCAATGTGCATTCTCCGAAGCGTGAACGCGCGTGCTACATAAAAGTACAATATTCAGACACGGGTCTCGAGTTACCACAGCATAGGTATATCGACACACAACCAAGACCAATGCTGGCGACGTTCTGTTGGTATTGCTCGTGGGGACTCCGCGTATGAGAGAATTCATACTGGCCGATAGAAAAACTGCGTTAGATTCGAAGTCCTTCTCCGCAGAGAAGCCATCACCAGGATATTTAAATTTGACAGCAATTTTCCGAAGTAGCTTCAGGTGAGACACAAAATGAGCTAGGCCATTGTACGTGTAGAGAATGTGGCCCTCTGTCGATTTGCACAGTTAGGTCCCCTTGACTTGTAATGCCTAACAGGCCAACTCAGGCACGAGGTGATTGACACAGACGTACTCACCAAGACGTGAAGATAGAGCTAAATAATACACTGTAATTGATGTTATAAGTACGGACACGACACGTTTTTAAATATATAAGAGCAGCGTGCAACGACGTGCAAGATACTTTGGCCGTGAATACATAGAAAAATGTCATTTTCATCAATGATTCAGTGAAGAAAGTGACCGTGCGGTACGCGTACAGCGCCTTCTGTGTAATTCAGAACGGAAGCCTCTTGCTGCAGATATATCTTTTTGCAAATCAGACCCTACCGCCGCCACTGTCTTCCACTCTTCAGGCGCTTACCATTCAAGGTGCTTATGGTATCAGTGGACGGTCAAAAAACAAGGTATAGCAGGAAATCTGCCTACCTATGAGGCGAAAAACAGATTCGACACGGCAAGATATACTTCGTGTTGTTTTATACAGCTTCTAGAAATGATATCGATATACATGTGTATGCTTCAAGGTTTTACCATTCCCTTTCGCCGTCTGTTTCCCTCAATAAGATTGTTAGGCGATGGCGCGTTGTACTCCACTAGGGACAAGCCAACGACTTGCGAATGCATGAGACCAGTAACTATATTTAGTAGCTGTGGCCATCTTTGCCACTTCTGGGCGACTGGGCAGCGGGCGGAGGCTGCTTTGTTGAGACAAAGATGTTCAAGTTCCTCTGAGCTGGAGAAGGTAGGTCGCTACTCCAGTCTCGGCCGGGCAGTCAGCCAACAACAACTGAATCCAATGGATACCAGTCGCTAACTGTCCTTCTTTCACTCTCTTTCGAGCATAATGCTCTCGTTCAAGGACTGAGGACTCCGTAGAACGCTATCGCGGTTATCCCACACCGACAACTCATACGAGAAAGCTGGCGCGCCATACAGATATGTTATAAATATTTAAGCAGTGACGTGTCTTGCCCACGCAGCTTGCCATCATGATTGCTCAGTCGCTGGCTGAGTTGTCTGCTTGTAGCAGGGGACTTAAGCTTTCCGCCTAGGCGGTTATAGCCTAAGGTCCCGCTGTTTGAGAGAAGTAGCCACTGCAATAGCGACGGTGGCTACCTCTGCAATTGAAGCACGGCAAAGAAGAGGACGAAGAAATTTCTGCAAAAGGCGCTGGCGAAAAGACGGCAGACCGCCAAACGACAGTAGCAGCCGTAGCCATGGCTAAGGATCGCGGCCCTTCGCGAATACTGAGATATTATGGGGGCGAAAAAAATCACCGGGAAAAGAATCGTTCAATGCTACTTATGCTGGTTGGTTGACTGGCTGGATAACAAACCTCTCTCTGGCAGGCAGCCTCACATACCGGCGTGCAGCAGCAACTACAGTGGCAAACGCAAACAGCTCAGCGGGAAATTTCAATTTTTAAATATCTGCCAGTCGACCAGGCTAAAGCAAAGCAAGCTAAACTGTGCAAGGCCTTCAAACGGAGCCCTCTTCGTCCAAGTGGCTTCGCGCCGCCGCTGCTGCTGTCATCTTTTAGCTGGCCGAGTTCAAAGCGTGTGCCACTCATAGATCAACGGGTCAGCATGGCGTTATAGTAACTGTCGTTGGTGCCGTGGCGATGTTTAACGAAAAAGGAGTCGTCTTAGCCCACGTGGGGGCACCGCAAATCGGATGAAGTGAATGGCGGGCAAGTTGGACAGGGAGTAAGGGCCAAGGGAGAAAGGAAATGCCGCTGCTGCACTTCGACGGCGCCATCAAAGAGACCGTTTAGAAAGAATTGGATACCGCACGTGCGATAACATATTTTCCTACCTCAGTCGTTCTCGTCGTCGATCACTGACTCTGGCTGTTTCTTCATTACTTCCAGTGCATAAACGATTCTCTACAATGGACCGTGTGATTTCGTTCTCTAAGAATCTACGCATTTAAGGCCATACGGGCTTTAGCATGTGCTCCTTGACCGGCGAGTATGTGGTTTTAATACAATTACTCAATTGTCTCTGCTGTCCGTCGTCAACAACACGAGCGCCACCGCTTGGCTGATGGCGACATGACTCGTTCCGCTTAGCAAAAGCGGTTTCGTCCCATCCGATTCCCGTCTTAGTGATAGACTGTATATGAATCACCGCGGATGGGGGACAATGGCATGCTGAATAATCGGATAGCATCAGAAATCAAATACCGCTACGCAGAAACATCATATTAACTCCCAGCATGTCAATAGAGAGGAAGGTAGAGCGGCCATTGTCACGGCTGAGCTTGTTATATCACACGAACTTTTCTCGGGACCACGTTATGTCTGCCGAGCTAATTTGATTATGCGCAACGCTATTAACTTATTTCTGTTAGTTTTACTTGAAAAGCAAGAGAAGTTAAACGCATTACACACAATCGTGCGGGAAAAAAAACATGTTGCTGACTACATACGAAACGCTTCGAGTAACGTTTTTTTCTTTTTTCTTTTTTTTTTTTTTATTTCTAGCCTCTTTCTACCTGAAAAGCAACGCCTTGTTAGACGTCGAAGCGGGATCATGTCAAAGCTTCACTGTTAGTCACCATATTAATACTTTTCTGTCGTCCTTTCTACTACCTTAGCTGTTTATTCGGTTTCGTTGAGAAAGAAATCGAGGTTGAATGTAGAGTTCTCATAGGTTCTTGTGTAGATGGCAGGCACCGCGGTGTAAGATATTAAAAACTTTTCATCCACAGCCACCCACTCCCACGCGTTGAATCGACTTTTTACCTCGGCATAGGGCGTCCGCGGCGAGAGCAGACCAAGTGGAATGGAAACTGCTGGAGGAGTCGAGGTGTTCATATAGTCGAGCAAAGCGCGCCATAAGGGAACAAAAGGCTACCCATATGACATACATAAGGCAATTGGTTGGCCGTCTGAAGAGAGCTGAGACTGATAAAGCTACGAATATTTGAGTTAACTGTATCTTCAGTGAGACTCATTGACTTGAAGCAGCAGTGGCAAACGGCACCATTCGCTGCACTTATTTAGCATTCTTAATCCGTGAGTCGTTGTCGACTAACTTGCACGAGTAACGATTTCATAAGACTGCTCGTAAACTGGTCATTTTTTGCTAGTCTACACAGCGGGAGGATTGAGGCATAGATATTTTTGTCAATTTGAACATCAAGCTATAGTACTCTTGGCCTACGTATCCCTAAAATATTGCCAGGGAACTGCTGAGCACGTCAAACTCCTTACTTTTTCTCTTCTCATCGTTCTTACTCGTGTCTTAATCTACCTGGCTGCATTGACTAAAGATCGTAGATGAGAACAAGTAGCTTCTCGCAATTGGGCTTAAATCCTAAATGATGCCCACCGCCGACACAAATGCAAGGGAGGAAAAGTCTCATTTAAACACCCAGGTTGTCAAGTAATAAATAATTGGCAAGGCAGCGCTTACGGTACAGCGTTTTGCTTTAATAAAAACGTGAACGAAACTTACCAAGGGTACAGTTGTACTGGACTTCCAGGTACTTGATAGTTCCGGGGCAAGGATCATCAAAGTTCTTTGCGGACACCTGCACACTGCATGATTGCTTATTCATGCACCTGCAACACAGACAGAGTTAGTAACTTAAATCATAATGAGGTTAATGGGTGCTTTAATCATAAAATGGTGGGGCATCGTTAATCTACTATTGTTCTCCAACACCAAGTTTTTCCTTATATGAGCAGTTTTTGTATAGCACGGGACGACACTCAACTGTAGACGTACATCTCCGTATGGATGTGTGAATCGATATAATCCAATGGCATTATTTTACATGACAAGCGCGCCCCTGATATATTCGCAGATATTAACGCGCGCAGACGCAGATCAAAGGCGACACAAGATCGAAATGGAAATAAGCAGAAAGGATAGAAAACTTGGTGTCCGTACTCGAACGGAGACCCCCTTCAACCTGTCGGCTGGATTCGAGCGCTGACAGCGGATTAGAACATACGAACAAAAACATAAAAATAGAAGCGTTACGATCCGAACGCAAAAGCACCTTATCGAAAAGCTAATACGAAACAAGGAAAAAGAGTAGCACCGTTTCACCTCTTCCCTTTGAACGCCGGTTGGTTGGCTTACTCTTTGTATTGAGAAACGCGATAGAATCTTACGGACTTAAGCAAACGCAAAAGGAAAAATGTAATGGATATCGAATTAGGATCTGTCTTTCGTTTCGGCGTCTGGACAGTGAGAAAGCAAAGCGCCTTGGACCCTACACACAGCGAAAACGCAAACGATACGACGTAGTCGATGAAACGGTGAAGATGACGAGATTTAAAGGGCTTCCGTAGAAGAACTTCGACACGTTAAAATCATTTAGCAGAGGAATTTCGCCGACGAGTTTGGCACGTCGTTATCACAATGGAACCGCCTCGCATCGATACGGTAAACAGAAAAGAGCAGGAGGAAAGAGCCGTAAATTGAATAATGTTCTACATTGGCAATTTGTCGCCGCCGACCAAACCTGTCCGTTTTTAGTCCATATATATATATATATATATATATATATATATATAGAGAGAGAGAGAGAGAGAGAGAGAGAGAGAGAGATACCGGTGTAGCGGCTATGAAGATTCGACAAGCAAAGTGGGTCTCGTTCCTATGTTTCTACGTCTGAAAGCTCTAGCAGTAGTAGAGGTAACGTTGTATGCGGAATACACAGCGCCATAACCGACCGCTACTTGGACTTCTTGGGCATATTGGCGAAGGAGGTCCACGGAGGAAACCGGCAGCCAACGCAACTTGGTCTCTTCTATCGAGTTACGTTGCCACCGGCGAACTGCCAAAGGGATAATCTGGCCAAAAAAACATGCGGGCGATGGATAGGGTCCGTGTGATACTGACATGAATTCGATGAACTATTTTTCTGCTAAACAAACTTTTTAACACAACAGTAACCCCGAGCCAGAAGTCGACCGAAAGCAAGAAAGCTTTCAACACACTGAACCAGCCTGATATGGGCTCATAGATAGAGAAGTGAGTTACCGGAAACAATGCATTAGCTATCAGCTATTCGAGTGTCGAGTGGAAATTGAAAACGGCACAGGATCTTCGGTGGCCGAAGGAACGTGCGTGCGGCAACTCTTCTGAGAAACAGGTGATCCTCTTCAAAGTCAAAGCTTTGACAAAATTGATTCGTCGCGGCGGAGGTGACTTCGTGCCTGGAGCATAGCCAAGCAAACGTCTACCAATAGCTATGAAACTCAACAATAAGAACCATAAATGAGAACAGCAGTAACGACGAGCTGCACGCATAGTACACAGACCGGCTCATTGCAAAGTATCACGATTAGCAGCAATACAACGTCAATATGTATATTGTTTTCCTTTTACATCACACTTCATCACATCAGTAAGACACCTTTAGCGCACAGGATAATGGCACTCATATCGGAAACAATGACTGGTCTATGAATTGTCACACGTTCAGTTTCGGGCCCGCAACGTTGCCAGACGGAGCTGGAAAAGGCGGCCGAAAACATACGCCATCTTCAGGTAGCTAGACCGTGGATAAACTATTCTACAAACTGAATCGGAATGTGAGCGATCCGATAGAAAAAATATAACGAGATTATTCACGAGCGCCTCATACAACGAAGCAGCGCGCACCGATATCGGCCCGAAGTCAAACCTCCATATTTCGCTCACATTAGTTTCTGTATGTGAATCATAAATTAGTTTAGCCTATTTCGACGATGAGGACAACGGTGACGCAAAGGGGGCTCAGTAGTGCAGCATTTACGGAATAGACGGGGAAGCGCAACCAGGACAACGAGCAAAAGCCCGCATCCGTCAGTGTGCTCGCTGTTGCTACGAAAACTACGAATACGTGACGATCGCTCCGATGCTATCGTACCAGACCAACAGCGTTATATCATGTGTATGTGTTTTTTTTTTGCTATGGGTAATTCATTGCTATCGTTGGGCTTATCCTTTGGACGATCTAGGTAGACAATACGGATAACAAGACCTGTAGATGACAATACAAGATCGGCTGCCGGCATTCGACCCATCTAGACAAGTCTACATTCACATTATACTTCAATAGATTACAAAATAATAATATGATAGATATGCATAAGTAATCTAAGTAGATGTGCTCTTCATTAGACTTGCTTGATAGTATGTCCGTCTTGGAGTAATCCATTATAGATTAAATAAAGCAAAGGGAAAAACAACTGACAACTTACTTTTTCTCCATGATGAGGTGCGATTTCCACGACATGCAGTTGACAGACATGTCTATTTTAGCCAGCGGATTGCAAATGCTGACGCTTAACCGGCCGTAGTTAGCGCGCACCAAATGGATGTTATAGTTGTCCTTGCAGGATATGTTGAGAGTCCCGCCCTCACACGCGTACTCTGTCTTGTATTGGATCCGGTCTGAAGCATATCAAGAATCGGTAGGCAAGCGGCACAAAGAGGAAAAGTAAAAAGAAAAACATAGGTTTAGTGCGATGGTAACTGTCTGAGGTGTGTCTATAGTATTTAGTTGGCAGGATCGAAGCGAAACAAAATAGGTTAGGGTCGTACCGCTCAGGCGGTATCAGTAAGATCATATCAGGCGGATAGCAATAACAAAGTATGATCAACCGAGGGAAAACTATAACGTTTTAAAGAAACAAGTCACGATAGCGATAATAAAGAAAATTGTGCGTAAAAGAATAATGAGCCAAAATAATGTTAAAATCTCGTAGCATCCGCGTACTTTGAAACAAAGCTGGCTGGAATTCATTCAGCAAATTGATACAGCGGCTCTTCGTAAGCCGTGCAGAACACTCGAAAGAAAATGATACCTGAATATACAGATTTCCACGAATTTCGACTTTAATAATCTGAACATTTTTGAAGTAGACGGTGTCGATCACGTGCTTATGTTGGGCAAAGCACGGCTGAAGCATTTCATATCTGCTCTTCATTCCAATACCCAGTGAATCTTCCTTTCGGAGGGCTGAACTTAGCGAGACGAGGTTGGAAGAGGTTAGGAGTGTTCCTGCTGGAACAAAATGTCACCGTGACATGATATTGCCATCCACCTGTCGCAGGTTTCATTTCGGTGTCTACCACTTCTTTAAGCCAAGCAAGCGAGCGTCGGTTGGTGATGAAACGACGTGAGAAGCTGAACACCGAGTTCGAAAATAGAAGACTGCCTTGCTAGCCAGTTTCCTTCTGGGTAAAGCTTATAGCGAACCGTTTGCTCCCGTTCGTACTACTGTTGTGAAGACCGAGGATTGTGGAGTTAGCTTAATCGAGTCTCCTGTCTTCGTGGCTGCACTGTTGATTGTATGGTATTATTATCTGTGTATAGCACAGCTTTGTATCGTCGGCAATATTAACTCTTGCTCGATATTAACACTAGCGCGCCTGCCGTCGTCCCAGCCGTCTTGCTGGGTGCCTACAGTGAAGACACTGCTCCGATACAGTATTGGATTTGTCTTACTTACCATGTACCTAACATACTCTTTCTGTCTCTTTGTTGGTTTGTTCTTAGTCGCTTGCTGCGAAGACTTGTCAAACGAGCAGGCAAGAGCTACAAAGTAGTGGGTCAGACGCTCCCTGGGAGCTCATGCCATCTCATGTCGTTTCCCCAGACGGTACAAACAGAGTCCAGACGGATAAATGCTACGACTATGTTGATTCTACCCTATTCTTACGCTGCCGCTATTGCTACAGTCGCTATTGGCATGACTGTGTTCGTAAATGAGACAGGTGTGGAAACGCTGACGTTGGAGTGAAGCATTCCACAGAACCCACCACATGGAAATCGCGTTCAAAGCGAATGCTGCCAACCAAGAAGAATTTAACTTAATTCTTAAAAAGGAGAGAGAGAGAGAGAGAGAGGGAGAAAGGGAGAAAGATGGAAAGAAGCTCTCATTGGTCGCGTTCCGTCGTCCCTAAATAGAGCATTGCATTACATTGGATTTAGATAATCCACGGCTACGCAGACAAACGCTATGTCCCTATTTTATTTTAATGCTACTAGACACTTCGGACTGCACATTGGTTTGTGGATGCTTTATACCGTTTTCCTCGTTGCTCGTTCTTCACAGCTACGCCCACTCTCTGGCTCCTAGTGCTAAGAACGCCTTTGTTTGTCTTGAAAAGCCAGAGGCATGTCAAATATTATTTTGATAATGAATACATTCAGGTACATGATATTTGCCAATGCCTTCCTTTGATCCTCTGCTGTCTCTTCCAGCCTAAAGATGCACAACCTACAATTAATGCCACTACTCATTGGGTTCAGACCCAACGAATTCGCGGTGGCGTCTGCTTTCATTCCAGTGACCCGTTCTACCCTAATTCGTTGCATGGTCATTTCGCTATACAATTCCCGGATGAAATTGCAGCGCAATGTAGTGTACAAGCACGTAAGTTGGTAGGCTGTATTTAGTCAGGAAGTCAGCGTCAGCAGAAAAATGGCGCACCGCTCCCAATGGGTCCTAGAAATTGACAAATAGTGGAGTCGTCGGATTCCCCGAAAGGATCGTTCCTTTGCTGGCTGCATGGCTACTTGGTCGGCGCCGTAACGCGGTGCTTCCGTAACTCTCATAACATGCAAATGAAAACAAAAGCAGCAACCCCTCCCCCTATCTACGTAGAGCGTAAAGACGTTACAACGTTTGGTAGTTTTAGGGCCTAGCGCCAATGCCGGTAAGGTAGGTAGTCGAAGACACGACGGAAGAAGAGCCACCAAACTCATTTTGGACAGCATTCTTTCATCTTGGCAGCGGCAGCGGTAGCAGCCGCAATAGCATCCCTAGCAGTAAGGAATAGCAGCTTTCTACCCTCTGGCAATAAGACGTGCGGGATGTCAAGTAGACGTCAACCAGGCAACCAGACGGCACCGTTACGTCTTGTCGTTGGCGTCAGTGTCTTCGTCCAAAGTGTGTCTGCCCCTGTGAACCCCATCTGCGAACTGCCACACGGCATCTATGAGTGAAACGAGTCGTGCGTACAAAACATCAGCAACATTCAATGTCACGTGACTAGGTGTATAGAAGCATCCGACCAGCTGAGCGAACAGCCACCCAGGCAGTATATTCCTCGCATCTATTCGGAAGATTCAAAAGCCATATTTCTAAGGAAATAATGCATTGCTTCACACAGTCACTGTACGTGGGCGCCAAGGTGCAGTTGTCGTATTCAGCGCAGTGCGATCCTAAGCTTCTGAGCTGCTGTAGAAAGCAGAAGAAACACGTTCAGAAGACAAGCGACCGCGACAAGCAAAGAGAGGCTATAGGATGTGAAACCAAATGTTTTTCCTACTTGAATAAACCCTGCGCCCCCTGCTCCTCCCATGGAAGATTCGAGAGTTGCCGGTGGCCGGCTTAGTTAAGCGTTGGTTGTCACCTTTTCCGTTATATACCCGTCTATTACCAGCGATATGAAGGATGACCCCTCGACAACATCTAAACCGGCTGGCTGCCGCCAGCACAGAAAAACAACTATTCATGCTAATGTCTGTGTATGCTGTGGACATACCAAAAACAGGAAGCTGCATTCAGGGCGTCGACTCCGTATTAACATAACGATTGAGAGTTTTCCAAGAAAGTCGAAGGCACTTTCCACGGTCATAGGGCACGGCACGACGCTACTTTGTCGTAATATACCTACTCTCCATGTCGAGACCAAAGCCCCATGTGTAGCCCCTACGGCTGGTTGAAATCACCAAACCTCCTAGAGCCGAGCCCGAATGCACAAGCTCAGAACAAATTTATTAGAAAAGACAGCGTGTCTCCCTAGTATATGTACTTCATCGATCGGAGACCGACCCAGAAAAAACTAGAGGTTCGGAAAACTTAGAAGGTGACCGTAGAAGGAGAGACCATCGAGATTACCACAATAAAGGCCTGATAAAGAGAAAGAGCGCCATGCTAGTAGTCGGAAGACGCACGTCATAATCCAAAAAGCTGATCGCCCGTTAAGGATCTACGGAGAGTTTCCTGCATGGTGTCGATTTCTCGCAGCAGGGAACCGTCTGTTCCCGTTAAGACTATCGCTGGTTGCCGAAGTTGTGCGTGTAGCAGTAGAATATTTACTGCAAATAGGATCGGTATATGGGGATGAACGAGAAAGATAATTGAAATCGGATAAGATAAAATGCTAGCTAAGACACTCCTTGACCTATACTTATGTATCAGAAATGTTTGAGAAACATGATGATAGACCGTAGAACTCCTAAAAGGAACACACACTAAATTTAAATTCCAGTGCTACTATTTTCTTTACAAAAACATGCATCTATATGCTCGAATTAGGTGCAGTCAACACAAATTGATTATGACTTGACATCGCCCTTTCACAACATCAACCATACATATTGCATACAGTTTGCTCGCTACGTATTTGGCGAAGGCGAAGACGGACGCATCAAGTCTTCGCCTGATGCAGCAGAAAAATCCAGGTATCGAGTCTCGGTCATGCATTTTCCTTCTCTCTGCTACATGCCTGTTCGCTCTGCTGCTTCATCCCTACACCTCGCACTATTCTTATAGCACAGGCTTGAACAGACGCTAACCTATGGGAGCCCACCAAATCGCACACATTTCTCCGGCACAGCACAAACAGCCCTCACCAATTGGGGTATTACCTTCTGTGCCACCCGCTTTTACCATCTGCAGACTCACGCAAGAGGTGAAACGGACTGGCTGGCTGGTTGGCTGCCATACTGATGGTTACGCGCGAGTAGCGCTTGCGGTGATGATGGTAGCACCGGTACTGGTGTCGCTAATACTGGTGGCCCTCGAGAAACCTGTTGGTGCTGCAACCCCCTTGCGGGCACTGTTAAGGCATATCTTGGAATGGCCACGCCGCCCAGGTTCTAGGCGGCAGCCTTAGGCGGAGATGCGATTAGGAGGAAACGAGACAAAGAGAACTGGAGCTAGTTCAGCGACCAAGATAGTGGAGACACCAACAGTAAAAGCAGCCGTGTGCCATTCAGCAACGGATTGGGGGTCGCGAGACGCTCGAAAAAACGAACGGAATGGGTAAGTACAAGGAGGATTGTCGCTGTTGAGGCTAGCACGGATTTGCATACAATTGCACACTATTGCATCAGATCTTCCTTCCCCTGTTACGCCAATCCCCCGCAGCCAACGCTGTATTCCACTCTCTTTGGACGCCTCTATACCCGTTCAACTATACCCATCTTTCAGTCTCCGGGAGCCACCACGATCACTCGGTCCGCATTTTTCAGCTTCGTGAAAAGCGCCGGGCATCGACAAGCCTGCCGATGCCCCCTGCCGTCTTCGGCAGACCGAAAGAGCAACCGGCGGCCTCCACGCTCCCGACGCCTATGGAGGAAGTGGAACAGGCCCGACGCAGTCTTAAAACTTGCTCCACTGCTCCTTCGTTTCTTTCCTGTCTGTCTGCTCTTCTGCTTGCCCTTAGCTCGAACCCCATTTACCGTACCCTGAGCGCCATAGCGACAGCAATAGCAGCAGCAATAGCGAGCCTACTTACGCTTTTTAAACTTACAAAGACGCAATTTACATATAAAAACAGCCCCTCATCTTACCCCATCTGGTAGCCTTCCACCACCACTAGGCGTACTGTACCCCCCACTCCCCCGCCCTACACCGCAATGTATTACAGTTTTTTTTTAAACTGCATGGTAAAGGAGAAGGATGTAGGGTTTAGGAATACCCTTGACAGGGTTCCAGAAAAGAAAGGAGCCTCCGGGCGTTGAGCTTGAACAGCAGGGGAAACTGGGTTAGAAGTTAGACAGGAGGTTGCGCGTCTATGCACGTCTAGGGGGTAAGCCGCCAACAGCAGCAGCAGCAGCAGCAGTTCGCTTGGAAAAAAGCTGCGGATTATCTATGGTACAAGATTGAGACGATAAGACTGGCTAGCCCATTGCTAGTAGAGAACAACCGAATAAGAAAAGATCATGATGAAACTCGCCTCAACCCGAAGAGAAGTCGCGCTTGAGACAGCTCCCATTAGACGCTAATGCATTATCAGAACCATGGTTAGCGTCATTCGATTTATTTTCAGCTATCATGTAGCCGCGTAATCCTTAACTTAATCATCGCAAGTGACGAAATACAAAAAGATCAATCAAAATCTAATAGAATTGCCAACTGTCTAAAAAAATGGTACTACGATAATCTCTGGACAGTTTTGTCAAATAACTAACTGAAACTTATGGCTTAACACCTGCTCAATCGAAAATGACAGGAAATCTATATTTTAACCGTTCGTTAGTCTCACTGTATAGTAATCAGTAATGTTAGTCGATTGTGAGTCAGCGATCATATATATCTATTGAAACGCAAAGTTAGTTGAGGCAGTATTAATAGTAACAATACAGCGACATAAGAAATGATAGTTTACCTCGATTCCGGGGAGAAGGAGTAACTGGCGGGTTAGGAACTGAAATCGAAGCGAGAAACATAACGACAGAAGTATACTGTTTACTAAAGCATATTTTTGGGCTAGAAAAGCCGGAAAGCAAATAAAATTTATAAAGAAACAAAAAGAAAAAAGACGAAAAACGAGAGCCATAATGTTTTCTGATATGCTACCGGCGTCTGCTTATCGGGCTTACCTATTCGCCTAGAAGATATGCTAAGAAACACTGATTTATATATATATATATATATATGTGTATATAAAAATAAAAGAACCTAACCGAATAATTCGATAACCTGTATTCTTAAAAGTTCCTCTAACAATAAATATTACTTGACAACAATTTCGGTGTCGACATAAGCAGCGGCGCTAGCGAATAGTCGGTGAGTGTCTAACGAACAGAAAGAAGTCCAAGTGGCTCAAGATGGCGCAGTTTGATAAAACAATCAGGGCAAAATGAGGACTGGTAGAAAAAGGGGTGATCTAGAGCTATCCAGACAGGCAGCACATTGCTGGGAGGAAATAGTCACGACTTAAAGGCCGTTCGAACAGTCATCCAAGTCTCATACCTTCTGCCGATATTGTATGCAATTGAAAGTCGCTTGCGCGCAGAAGGCTCCAGCTTCGGTCATGGCGCCGATCTGCGACAAACAACGCACGGACATAAATTTTCATTTTTATAATTCTACACTGGGATTAGGTTTAATGAAGTTCAGGTCAGCTTGAACGATACATTGTATCGTCATATCGAGTGGACACGAACGGTGCGCTATTTAAAACAGCATTTAGTGTATAACGAAAAATCCGGTCGCAAAAGAAGGTTCGATCGTCCAGACAACAATCTAACGTCATGAGCAGATCGTTCGCCCGTCAAGTTCTGTATATATTTCCCTACATAATAAATAGATGTGATGATTAAGACGCACACAAAGCAATAATCAAGTAAAACTTACTCAACCTGTAGCGCCCTCACATCGGTGGATAGACAGATAGTTGCAACGTAAACGAATCATGTTCAATAAAGTTAATAAAATTGGAAGTTGTTGCCGGTAATGACCGAGTAAAATGTAGTAACGAGAACTTCGCATTATTCTACGAGGGCCTATTCGTTTCACGATACGTTCAAAGCAGTATTCACCGATTGAGGAATACGATAAGATCCTATTTATATTTAATTATGGCGTCCGGTGAATCTAATGTTGTGCTAAATTAGTCGGCGATACGATCATAAATCTTTAATTGTATGCCGTGGTGCTTAAAAAGAGGGCAGATAGTGGCAATGGCAGCTAAGGCCGGCGTCGATATGCTAAAGTCCTCCGAGTTATAATATACTGCACGAAATAATTACTCTATTTCTAAATAATCGATAACAAGCGTCCTTAATTCTTGGACGGGCAAAAATAATAATGTATTAATGCAATTGTTCGAATACATATCTGTTCAGAGGTCAATCTTTCAATGAATTCGATTCCTAATTTCAACGCTGCTGACACGCTGTTTCCCGAAGCCTTATTTAGGTTTGTTTGATTCGAGGTTATCGCTCCTACCAATCTTGGCGCCGTCTACAGGGTGCACTATTTGGCCGAAGAAAAATACGACACCCGCATCTAGCCATACTCGTAGTCTTTCACTATTGCTGCATAACCGCTAAATGGCAGTCCTAAACGTTTTGTCCTTTGCGTGTTGTCCGTTCGCCGACTCACTCTTGTCGCTTATTTCCTCCGTCCGCACACGGCTACGCGGTTTCAGCTAACAAAAAACATCACCTTCCAGTACTGATGCCGTTGAACTATCTCACTTATTCCACTTTCAACCCGATCTGCCCGATCGCGTTTCGATTTCGTTTTGCTTTCGTAACCTATGGATCCCCTAAGCCAGACCTCGGCAGCGCAGGCTCAGCCTAAGAACATGGAAAGGCATAGTAACAGTGCTGACGGTCGTTGTAGTGCCAATTTCGTACTGGTTACGTGGCTAAGGAGTCATTGCGGGTCAAGAAACACCTGCCCTTCCGGAAAGCTGTAAAAGGGTTGGTTTCTCTCTTGGCTACTACGGCCGCGGGTCCTGCCGCTGCCGTCATTACCCCAACTCTAGTCTATTGGCAGAACCGAGCCAATACAAAGAAAGGACGTCGACTCCGTACATCGTCTACGACGAATTTAAGGCCGCCGTCGGTTTGTGTTATTCGTTGTTTGGTGGTTTTCAACTGGTTGCCAGAGGGAACATAACGGGCTGTGGACGCTACGGGAAGACTGGGATACGGAGGCCGGTATGCGGGGATGAATAGGGTGTCCATCATGAAATGGGGTTTGTGAACCAGAACCCTATGTTGGATACTGGTATTTATATGGTAAAACATATCGGCAGTGCCACTAGTGGCAGTTGTGGTGTCCAATAGATGAGTCGCCACCGCTGCCGTTGCTACCGGCGTTAGCCATCACGATTGGCGACGGGCAAACGAACTCATATGGAGTCATCGTTAGTTCATGGATGCAGTGGACTCACCCACAATAGTGTTATTATTGCTCCTGTACACTGTACCTTTCCTGCTACGAAGATCTTCCTATAGGTTTGTCAGCCGAAACGTTCTTTCTTCCTTGCTTTTTGGAATCCCATACTGGGATAGCACTGATGACCCTTTTAATCGGCACATGTGTCGACACAAAGACCATTACCCCTTTTACACTCCCTAGATATATCGGTTTATTTAAGGCAACGAATACCCGCGCATTGGCCACACGAGTGATAGAAAGATAACGGAGATCGCGCAGAGAGGAGAAAGGTAAAAAAAAAATCCGACTGATAGCAATTGTAAAATAACACTATTCAGAAATTCTACGAAGAGTGAGCTTTTCGGACATAGTAGAAAAGAACAAGTCGAAAGACAAAAACAACACTGTAATATGGATTCGTCACCGTAACCGGTGCGGGAATTACACGAACAAACAAACGTGCTGTCATCAAATGATGACGAGAAATAGCGCCGACGCTGCATAGAGTCAAAAGGGATCAAAAGGAAAAAAAAAAAGGAAAGTCTGCGTTCATGCACAGTTGCCCTCTTTCTATCAGCGTGTTAAGGACTGCGGGCATCTAAGTTTTGATTGGCGTTTCTGTTTCTACTGCATCCTGACGCATGTTGTTGATGGCGTTTCGTTCGCTCATAATCCCTAAGTAACAACGTCCCTAATCGACAACGTTCGTAGTCAACCCCGCATACCACCACAGACATTCGATCAGACGACTATCACCGAAATGTCAACATTCAATGCTTTTACTAGCATCGGTAATTGTCTAGCATTGAATAATGCCGCGGTACACTGTTTCTGATCAGTAACTTGAACAATCACGTCAGTTGTCCGTCTAAAATACCTGTTCTCAAGTGGCATAGACGCATAGATGATTGAACACGCTTTGAGGCCTACTTTGACGATTGAGCTCTTTCCAAGGGACCTAAGCTGTAGTTTTCCCAGTCGGCTTTAATTAGTATACCTTTACTATATCCATCCAATCAACGAGACTTGAACGCAATAGTGAGCATTCGTTATATTTAGCATGCCACGTAGGTGACAAAAAGTATATCGAATAGTAAATATGGCTCTTGTTGTTGTTCGACGCGGCGCAATACACTTTACGTCACTGTCAACTGATCATAGCCAAAAAGGTATTACGTCTTCAATACGAGTTTTGCCCAGTTAGCTGGATGGTATGTGCAACCGATAGCGCACGAAAGCGCCCGTCCCAGCGGGATAGGCGCTGCGGCGGGCCACACCCTTAGAGCCGGGCAAGCGAATGGCGGCACTGAGGGAGGCAAAAGCAGTGGCAGTGCCAATAGATCCCACAGAAAACAAAAACAGCTTCTACTCTGAGTGAAAATCGCGACTTCCAAGAGAAAACTGTAGTACTACTGCTGGTGGAAACTGTTTGAAACGAAGAATCTGCATCGACTACGGCGTACCAACAGAAGCGGCCGCAAATAATAACGAGAACGCTAATCTGTTGGAGAAACAGTTAGGGAAAAGAAAGCTAGCGACCTAGTACGAAGAAACAGTAACAACAACGAAAAAACATGATGTGTAATTATTCTAGTTCTAGCGTTTCTAGTACTAGTTCTAACGTGGAATAACTTGGCGGCCGATGGGCAGACACAAACTACCAACAAACGCCACGACAACGCATCGGCTTCCGAGCTCGCTTGGCTCATCCGGCTGGAAGTGGACACATGACGGGCGTGCGAAGTGAACTTCCGTCAAGTTGCCGTCACTGTCGTTATTGATGCTCACCGCTACCATAGCAAACAGATTTTTCCTATTTATTTAAGCATACATATTTAGAATTTTGCGCCCGCTACGGCCACTGAGCATTCCAGCATACACCAAGTTCCAGCACGAAATGAAGCGTGTCTTCGTTTAGACTCGAATCCAGATCAACACGTGCTCCCTAAGGGACAGGTATTGATCTGGGTTTTTGACGTGTTTAGCAGTTAAATGCGCTATCACATGGATTGCAGGCACCTGTAACAGCAACCAGTGGCACACAGACGCTTCAGCACCCCCAACTGGGCCACAGCAAAGAGGGGTCACGTTTCGGCTTTTCTTGCTTCTTGTTTATTGTCGCCAGCATCAGGATAACGTCAAGTCGGCTCTTTTCTTATTAACGCAACCGGTTGTTAGTTAGCGCAAGTTGTTCCGCTGATTGTTTCGAAAGCAGTTGCTCCTTGTGTTGCTTTCGTAACTTGAACGGCTTCCCAATCACGTAACTTAATGAGAAAACACTAACCGTTTGAGGGAAAGGATATCCTGTGCGTAAAGTAAAATAGTAACAATGACGGCGACGGAGGCATCATGTATCTCAAATTTTCGGTTTTTGCTTATTCAGATTGTTTACTACTTTCTCATAAGCGCTGTGTATAACCGGCCGTCGTGCTGCCCCTATAAGGTTACGCCGATTGTAGCTTTAGCAAACCTAATGAAGATCTTTTCGCCCCCGCTTTACGCTTTGAACGTACCTATTCAATAGCGGCTATT